CACACACACACAGAGTTTTAGCTCTCTACTATAATTACTTTATTTGTTTTATTACTCTTAGAAAATGCTACAACAGTGTACAGACACATTCTGCTGTTTAAAAATGAATATGCATAAGCATACATGAAACTGTAACTGTCCCCGTTTCTTCAGATCATCTTCCGGTCACCTTATCCCAGACCGTCACTGCTCACTTTCTGGGAGTGCTGAGTGTGATTGACAGGGGAGTGATGGGTAACAATGTAACAAAAATACATAATTACTAATGAGTCATGCATCAATTTGTTTTACAGTCAATGAAAGAAATACTGTTAACAAATACATTGAACAATATTCTAACAATTTAGTGATATKTCCACAGCTGTTGTCTTGAAATAAAATCTTGAGTCCTTAATGCCCGAGACAAGACCGAGTACAAATGTTGTCAAGTCCGAGACCAGACTGGTGTCCAGTACAACATCACTGACGTCCAACTCCTTTTGTTTAGATCATCAAACTCCTGCTGGAGCTTCCTGGACCTCAGCCTGATGTTTACCAGATCCTCCTGCTGAATCTAGTTTGTTGTTTTGTTTATCCTGCAGAAATCTTTACAGTTGTCTTAATCTTCCTCCAGCTCATGGATGATGCAGCTCGCACCTCTATGCAGGATCTGGATCTTTTCTTCTTGCTCTGCAACACTGAGGTTGTGCTTCTGTTGTGTGTCTGAGGTGGTGGTCTCTGTGTCTGAGGTGGTGGTCTCTGACGATGCTCTCAGCAGACAGGACCTCTCCTGCTTCCTCCACGTCGTTCCTCAGCTCCTCCCTCTCACAGCTGCTTCATTGTTTTAACCTGYGAGCTTCATCGTCTGTTCAGCTGGGCTTTAAAAGCCTGAAGCAACAAAATGTTCAATTATTAGCTGATAATGTCCAGTAAGACTGTGGTTATTAAACCTTTTTTTCATAAAGTTCCACTTCAGTAAACACTCAGCTTCATCAATGACAGACTTTAGAGAACAGAAGCACACACTGGTCCACCTTCTTGTGCCGAAAATTAAATTTGAGTCAACAGTTTGCTGTTCTACATTAACTATTTGTTTCAAATAGTTCCTTTAAGAAGAAATAACTTGTTTGAACTCTGTCTCTGTTTTCTCTCTTTAAAAAACAATCAGCCTATGATTGTTAATTAACTTGTAAATAATTGATGACAGATTTTCTTCCGAGTACGACTCGAACAAAAGTCTGCAAACTTTGACTTTAAAAAGAGTGATTTTAACCTTTAATCTTTCCTACTATGACATTTGTATGGAGCCACATTTTTTTTATTTTAAAAGCATACTTTCATTTTAATATCCTGCATCTGTGAAATTAACAGCTTGTGTTACAAAACAAGATCAATCTGCAGAAGGAAACAACCGTTTTTTTAATGATGCAGACTTGAGTCCTTCCCATATTTGTGAAAAATCGTCTCATATTTAGTGATACATGAAGCACTGAGTAGCAGCATAAAGTCTTCAAATATGCTTCTATAATATAATATATATATACTATAAAATGTATATAGATTTAAATATGAGAATCTAAATATTTTTTTCAAGGATATTTTTCCAGTGTTTTCCAACCTCAAATCYAATAAATGTGCAGAACTCTAGTTTGAAATATGTTTTTTGATGGATTTGGAGAACAACTGTTTGTGAAAGACGGAAGAMCAGACCAACAAACTACGATCTCAGCAGTGAAACTGATCTCTGGATTTTAAACACATTTTAGTGAAAACTTGAGCTCAAATTGGGAGGCTGTGTGTTTGTGTTACCTTGTATTTTGACTAATATTTCTTCAAAGTTCAGGCAACAGAAGTTGAATGTTGTGTCTTCCTTCTGTAGAAACCAAATGTCTGGACACAAACAGCTTTTTCTTTTGTAAGTTCTTTGTAGAAATGATTCAGATTCATGTTTTATTTTAGTCAGAGCCACTTAAGAGGGTGTGAAAAAACTACACATGGGTCCAGGTCCGTAGGTTTCAGAGCCCTGGTCTAAAAGAACCCTGAACCACCAGAGGTACCACAGTCTGAAAACAGGGACTTGCATGGGTTAGTTTCCACCTTTAGGTCTTTATTTCTTCTGAAAATAACTTCTTGTTCTGTTTTCTGCTTTATTTTCCTTGTTTTTAAAGAGTAACTAAACCCAAAATCTGACTTTTATTTCAGATAAATTGTCTAAACTGGCCCTTAAGTGTATTATCGTTACATTTCTGTGCAAATGTTGACATTTCAGTGTAAATTTGTTTAGTACTACAATATTTGATCTAAAACTGTCTTGGTGCTGCCCTCTATGGGTTGAACAGTGGCTACTGCAGTTGAATTTTCCTATTGGTTCAGTACATGCTTACATCACAGCGCCTGTGTTCAGGTATAAAAGCTTCTCTCTCAGAGACTCGCCCCTGTAGCGAGTCAGGAGTTGGAACAGCGAGCACTGTGATGAAAGTTTGTTACTGTTTTGAACATTAGCCAGTGTTAGCAATTATGCTGCTAACATCACATTAACACATGGAGCAGAGAACATCAGCTGAGCATAAAAAGCAGCGTGACTCATGAACGTCTGCCTCGTATCAAAAAACAAACTGAATAAATTTAATGATCTTTTTTGTGGTTCAACATTTTTAAAACAAACTACAAAGTTACTGCTCATCTTCAATTTTCCCTCATTAATAAATCAGTTTGTTGATGTTTATTCCTGTCAGTTACTGAGTTACACAAAGTTGAAGAAAATGGCTAAAGGGTGCAGCATCTTTAACCTGCTCTAGTTTAAAAACTAAAATACTTAGACATGTCGGACCTGGACAGACACATATTTAAAATCAAGTTTGTGATTTGTGAAATCTTTATTTGATTTGTGAAACTTCAGTAAATGCTGTTTTCAGCCTGTTTTATGAATCTGGACCACAGACCTGTTTCCAGAGATGTTAGCTTGTTAAATGAAGCTAGCTGTTCCCTGGTCCTGGCCACACCTCCTCACTCATCCCCACACTTACCCGTGCCCCTCAGTGTCTCTTGGCACCGCCCACTTTGTTTGCCTAAGGGCATTATTATTTTTTACAGGGAGGTTAGTTACACTTTAATCCAGATTATCTCCTGGCTGTTTATGTTGTTCATCCTTACAGAGCACGTTGGCACTAGTCTCTCTGATGGATCACAGATTTGATGAACAGGTCACAGAAATCTTCACCTGATCTGAGTGGCTTCCTGCTCTGGAAGCTCAGTGTTTGAACACTTGCACGATAAAACAAAAACAACGTACTGCTCGGATCTGTAGACAGAAGTCACGGCTCTCCCTGATCTGTGCTTTAAACTCCTCCGGTTTGTCGAGAACATCCTCGTGAGGAGCTTCAGTCACAGCACTGAAYGTCCGGTGGCTCCTCTGAAAATAACGACACAAACAGAAACACACTGAACAGCTTCATTTCTCAGCCACTGAGCTTCCAGGTAAATCTGTAGAGGAAATAAAAAAATAAACCAATCTTTAAGGGTATTCATATCACCTTACAATGTTTTGGTCAGTGTTATGAGAGAGACCTCAAATGTGTTGAGAACTGRCTAATGTCAAATGGTGGCCATCTTGAATGGGGTTGACTTTATTCAATTATTAAAATTTGATGAGATATTTTGCTAGCAGACAGCCAGAAGAAGACACAGATATGGGTTAAAACATTTGAAATGTAATAAAGGGATGTTTTATGTTTAATAATTTCATTATTTGAAGTTCAACAGGTCAGATAAAGTAGGTCAGAAACATTTTCTCTGGGACTTCCCCGCTCACTGACTTGTCTTTGCTGCCTGATATTTTAGACCGCAGCGACCCTGACCGTTCTATTTAATTCGACATGAAATCAAACATCTGATGCTTTCGCTGCGTGACGACACCAGACTGAGGCCGTCTCAGTAGCACAGCGTTTCACAGCTCGAAATAGGAGCCCAGAGTCTGGTCCAGAGCTCTCCTCTGGTGTTCGGAGGGTTTGAGAGGTGACTGAATGATGACGGATGGGTGGGGGGGTGGGGGTGGGGCACCAATTGCATTTTTGATGCATCTCTGCGCCTGGTGTCCATCAGAGGTGAGTGTTTGTGGTTATTTAGGACCCAAAGCCCCTTCAGTCAGATGGACGGCTTTAATCCTCCACATATCCCACCAATGTGCTCGCTGAGGAGYGCAGGCGCCGGGGACAAAAGGGTCCAGGGGCCCATCGGGCTTCCAGGGAGGGGACCTGAGGCTGTATTTTTAGGGAGGCTCCCGAGCAGCTGCCACTTGACACATGTCACCACCTGGCTCTGAGGACGCCGTCCATATTGTTTAAATTAGAAAGAGCTGAGGAAGAGAATGAGCAGAGACCTGCGGCTCTGTGCGTGAGGACCGAGTCCTTATTAACAGTGGGCCCACACACATGCCTGCTGACCGTACAAGGGCACGCACACGTCTCACACACGCCGAGAACATTGCCCTTGCGTGCTGCACATACCTCCAGGCGGTGAAGGCGAAGGTGTCGCGTATCAGAGGCCGGAGGCTCGTGGCCGAGCCGCTTCTTGTGAAACCTGTTCAGAGGAGCAACTGCCGCAGGACGTCTTCCTGAGAGCTACAGCTCAAGGACTTTCCTCTCCCCGAGAACAGCCGATAAGCTGCAGGGAGATTCACCTCCTTTATTTTTGTTTCTTTACCTTGGTTTTATTATCTACAGCAACTACAGTCGGGACTCTGCAGGTCCTCAGTTTTTTATTTATTGGTTTACGCCTGTGTTGTTTAGTAACAAATATCCAACACTATAACACCTAAATAATAACTGCAGAGCACGGTCCCTGAGCCTTCAGCTGCACAAAGATTGAGAAGAATCACTTTAAGCAAGAAGACTGGACGAAATGATTTAAAACACAATTTAACTAAAACATATTATGATTTAAACAATTTAAATGCAGACATAATCACAGATTATTTCATCACATTCAGTCTTTAGAATTAATTATTTTAATTTATTTTATATGGAATAAATCAAATAAAACATTTAACATGATCCACTCAGTTTTTTTTTACCACTAGCATCATATACATATAATTATTCTGATTTAACTGGGTTAAATTTAATACAGTCAGCTCTAAACTGTAGGTGTGAGTGAGAGGGTGAAGGGTTGTGATGGACTGGAGACATGTCCAGGTGTCCCCCGTCTCACACACTGACTGCTGAAGACACSAGCTCCACTAGACCCATGAAGGAAGAGCAGGTTTGTAATATGCTTTTTTGTATCATAAGAGGACTTCTTTTTAAAGAACTCAAGCTTTAATTTAAACTGTAATAAAAAAATTAAAAACCAAATAAAACAACAAAGTTTTGTTTTTTTAAATACATCAGTTATKTACAGAAGAATGATGCCATCGGAAACAGAAAGGTGTGTTTTGGTTGCACTGATGGTRCAAACTGTGGAATTAATTTCTTTGGATTATTCAGTCTGTAAAACTCATTAAATGTTTTCAGGAAGGCGGAAGAATTAACCTTTACCTGGAAGCGYTGTTTCTCACCTTCATGGCTCAGATCCCGTCGATCAACTCCCTCTGTGGCATCTTCATCATCTTCATCATCTGGGACGGCGGGTTCAGGAGGAAGAGGCTGAAATCTCTCGATCATCCTGAGTCAGCTCCTGATGATGAGACAACTCTTCATCCTGTTTGATCATCAGATTGTCAGGCTTTAAAGACACACCACAGCTGAAAACTTCTTTTTTTTCTATCTTTGACAGAAACTCATCATGTAAAACTTTGGCTGGTTTTTGGTCCCTCACATGAGGAAAGTCCTTGACGTGAAGCAGAAAGAAGGCAGCACAGACTTAAAGTGATGTTCATGTGATCATTTCTCTAAACATCACTGCAAGTCTTAACTGTCTCCATCCCGTCGGTCCAAAGGGCTCAGACAAAATCCAAACTCCTGAAAGCTTAATCTGTCTTCACGATCAGAACCAGAACTRAAGTTAAACTCACCTGAAGCTGTAGAGTCTGGTAGGACATGTCTGCACCCAAAACTGGTAAAAAAAAACAAACACAAAACAGACAAAAAAGGAACTAAAATGAAGGTTGACCATACTTCTCTCACAAAAACACACAGATCTCCATATTACGACTGAAATGTAGGAGATTTACTGATTTGCAAAACACAAACAGGTTAAAATGAGTCGTAATGACTCAGCTGAAGAAAACTGAAGGCAAATTAAGAAAAACAATGAAGTTTGTTCTACATGTTAAAATCTTAAGTTATCATTTACTCACAATCAGGATGAGTTCTTGTTCCTGATGTTAACAAAGTTCAACTTCCTGTAAGAAAACCAAACGATAATGAGTCATATTTAARCTTTATTTTAACTTTCAGGGGTTTAATTCCTCCTTGTTGAGGATCCTGCTGAGAAAAACACAACCTGAACATGTAACTGGGGTGTCATAAAAAGCAAAAATAAGAAAAACAAAAAGAAAGAAAAACCTGCAGGGAAAATTAGAAGCTTTGTGTTAAAACTGTGACAATAAAATATCTTGTTTGAAACATGAGAGGTGGTGAACAGAGGAGATAAAATGACAGAGAAAAAAAAACATCAAGCAGTTACATTTCTAAAAGCAATGTGGAAAAATAAAAACAATTAAACATTGAAAATAAACCAGAAAAAAACTGCAGAGTCAGGCCTGAGGAAATAAAATGATCTTTGGGATTCTTGGTTTAAAAAAAATCAGAAAGAAATGATTTAAAATACACAAAAGTTTTAAAAACCAAACTTAGGAAAATGTTGATCATTTTGTAATTGCAGAATAAGAGGTGCAAAAATCTATCAAAATATATCAGTGATTTACTGTGTCACAAATGAATACAGAATAAATGAAAATAATTTCAAAATCTCAGTGGATTTTCTTTTTCAAATAAAATGTGAATTTTTAGGTTTTTGACTGGAAATAAGACAAATGTGTTTTAATATAAATTAGAGTTGCTTCAGAAATAATTTATTTTTATGCTGTCAAATATTTTTTTGCTCATAATGAGTCAGTGTCTCCAGGTGGAAGTGGAGACATTAAACTCACCGTCACACAGACGAGTCCGAAGTCACACCATCCTCAGACCATCCTGCAGGCTGACTCCAGCTCACAGCTGGTCTTTGTCATCGGGAGGAAATATTACCACCTCTCCATCATCACCAGAGGCTCAGCTGCTTCCCTCAGACTCAGGAGGGTTGGCCTGCTGGGTGCAGAGCCGGAGCGAGGAGGAAAACACTTCAGCTGTGAGGTTTTCATCACAAAGTAAAMGTTTGAATGAACACTCACCCTTTCATCTTCGCTCTCAGCAGGACTTGTTCCACCGCTGTGCTTCTTTGTCTCAGTTTGAAGGGAAAACTTGTTGGATTCTCACCTGACAACACAACAGAGGATAAACAGCTAAATCCTCCTTTGATCAAAATCATWTCAAACACTTGCAGTAAGCTGACAAATCTGAGAAGTATTGAGAAAATGTTGGTCAATTTATGAAAAAAAACATTCAATGAAATTTCACCACAAGCAGATAATTCATTGTATGTTGCATTTGTTTAGAGAAAAAAGTTCCAAACAAAATTTATTAAATACATTTATAATCTATGTCTATTTTGATAATTATATTGTCACATTTTAGAGCCTTTTAACAATTATTACTAATTTCAGTTTTTAAACATTAAAAGTTTTATTCTCTAATTCAAAACAATCTTCTGGCTTCATTAGATTTGTTGTGTGCAGTGCCCTGACGTTTGTTGTAACTTGGCACTACATAAATAAACTGAACTGATAAAAGTTTCAGGTTAGAGTTTATTAGTTATTATTATAAATTCAAGCTTGCATTTAAGGTTGTAATAATTTCATATAATATCTTAAACAAGAACTTCCGCTCTGTTTCAGGCCTACCTTGGAACAGAAGCGCGCACCGCGGACATTTCCAGCTCAGCTGTGCGTAAAAGCCACTCCGCGTCTCCAAACTGCTCCAGACCAGAGCGCAACATGGCGGCAACTGCTGTCCGCCCCGGAGCACCGGAGGCAACACTGGACTGAGGTCTGGTTTTGGTGAGTAAACAGATCATTCCGGTGGTTTGGATTTGAAAAAGTGGCAATGAGGAGAGAAAAAAAAAAGCCGCCCGGTCTTGACGCGCGCGGCCTCCACCTCCTCCAAACCAGCACATGAGCTAAAACCAAACCCTAAACAGCTGAAGCACTTTGAAGCTCAGCTCCCTCTGTGCGTAAAACCAAGCGGACCAGACTGTTCTCGGAACGGACACGAACCAAGTGACACCTCGCTGAGATGTGGCCTGCTTTATAGGCTGGTCCTCAAGGTCACGATCAGTGGACATTTGTCCCTCATTAGCATTTGCCACCTCCTCCGCAGCTCATTGGTGCGCGGAGCAGCTGTCTCAATTGACACAAAAGGAAAGCTACGTTTTTGTCATAGCGCTAAACTCCAGCCGGCTATTTTTGTATCCCAGTTATTTTATGCACTGTACACACTCTGAGGGCACAGAGCTGCGCGAGGAGCATCTCAGTGGGACTTCTGGCATCACTGCCTTCAGATGTGGGTCCTCTCAAAAACCCAGCAGCAGACAAACTAACAGAAGTTACACCCAAGGCTCAACTGAAACCATTTGGTTCCATCAGAACCTCCTGAACCAACACTAAGGGGGGCTCGGAAGGCCTCGGGGTGGGGGTCTGTGTTGTTAAATGCTGCTGGGGATGTTTGTCTTTGTGTGTGGCCATGGAGGATGCAACCTTAGAGGAGATTATTTCAGGAGCTGTGTGGCATTAAACACGCTACTATAAATACAACCCATTTTATTAATAGAGAGAAAGGCAGCGCTGCCTCACAATGAAGTGGATTTAAGGCTGAGATCCTGCAGCTGAAGCTCAAACATATGACATATTTCCACATTATGGATTTGATTATTATTAATACATCCAAAAACAAAGGTGGAGATTCAAGAACAAAGCTGGCTGCACGGCCAAGTGACCTGAAAAACTTAAAATATGATTCTAACCCCGTCAGTTTGACAGATAATGAGGTAAACATTGRTGTGTTAGCTGAGAGTCACACTCAATACATGATCTGAGTGCAGCAAATTCAATAAGATCTGTGCACAGTTTGAACTCTATTAAAATACATAAATCTGATATATTTTCATGAAACTTTCAGAAAATATTCACTTTTGGAATCTGGTTCAATGTGGCTGCTACAGACAGCCAGAACAATTTTAAATCATTTGGCCAAWTTTACAGATATTGAACAAAAATCTGATCAAAGTTATTTACAACAAGTGAGGTCAGGAGGACCCAGATGTTGACTAAATTATCAACCCTGAGAAGTTTTCAGTTTATCAGTCCTGAGAGGTTTTACAGAAATCAAAGTAACTTTGATTATTGTAATAATTTATTAAAGATGAGTCAGTAACTTAATAACTTCTACTAATTAGCTTTTATAATGTAAACAATTGTTTTACAGTGCTAGCACGCATTTGTTGAGCCTTCTTGGTGCTATAAATAAACTGTAATGAGTTGGATTTAATGAGTGATGTGTCTTTTTGTTAAACGGCTTATTAAATATATTATCCTTCATTATAAAGTGACTTATATTTTGTTGGTCATCAGATGAAATGTTTAATAACCASTGCTCTGAGAGCTGCAGAAGTGTGGTGTTTGAGTCAACACTGTCTGATTGTAAGCAAAATATTTTACAAACTACTGCATGGATTTTATTTAATTTTTTTATTTAAATAAACAATCATTGGTTCTTTAACAGATTAACATTAGGTGTTTGTTTAGTTTAGGATATCCACCACAGTTAATGAATTATAGCCAACACAAGGTTTTACAGACACTGAGCACAGACTATTCTGAGCATCTTCCAATAACTTCATGTTTCAGGTTTAACCAAACTTCAACGCATTCATTTCCCAACATGAGATGATCCTGGTCTAAAGGGAAAGGTGGTGGGCCTCACAGTGACTTTCTGCTTGTTATTCTGTCACCTGTAGTTTCTGACATGTTGTGTGTCCCATTGTTGTTTTGTGGGTTCGGCTTTGGTGACATTTGGGGACAATTTTAAGACAAAAATCCTACATTTGGGGACAACTGGTGCATTTGGGGACAAAAGTCGAGTCCCCATTTGGTTTAAATACCATTGGTGGGTTGGGGGTTGGTTTGGGTTTAGGACCAAGGTGTGAC